ATTTAAGTTTTACACACAGCGTCTCCACGACATGGCGGCGTCGGCAACAATACTACAGAGAGAATCAAAGTTATGCCTTCTTTCTTTGCGTGAACATTTGGCCGGCATTATGCAAATCTTCGCACACAGTGACATAGACATGTGGGGGTGTGTTTAAACGAGTTGTTTTAGGAGGGTGTGGACGAGTCTTAACTTTTATAAAGAATATCTCTTTGGGTTTGAGACTTTAGTCTTTGCAACTTTAGGGATCTTATCTATGCACGAACAGCTTGTAACACTCCAAAGAGGGATCTTATCTATTCACGAACAGCATGTAACACTCCAAAGAGAAAGGAAAACTTGAAATCGCATCATATGACCCCTTTAATGTCATGTGGGTTGTATCGGTTCACGCTCCCGGTGGCGGAGAAAAACGAAGAAGATGACTTTCAGCGGCGGCATGGTAGATGAGTGGAAGAGGTATGCTGATGTACAATTTTTGTTTGTTTTGTTTTATAAAAAGTATTACAAGCTGTTAAAAGTGCATTTTCTTGGTGGCTTTTGTACAACGTTTTCTTAGTACCTAGTGATGGCGAAGGGAACCAGCGAAGCTTTCAACACAATTGTATCGGAAAAAGGTTCATTACTCGAAGCTTTTTAAAACGGTTTATGCTGTGGCCATCTAGTGGTCATAAAAATGAACAACACCTTCCAAAGCGTTATGTTCCATTCTGTTTTTTTACAGTCTATGGTTCCATTACAGCCACTGGTTTCACATCTGGTTCTACAACTGATTTTTTTTTTATTATATTTTATATAAATAATGGCCATTGTCAAAGTTTTGGACTGCACTGATTTATAAAGTGTAAATGTCTTAAACGTTTGTTAATACTAATAATAATTCATAATCAGTTTTGTGTAAATTAATGGTGAACAAACTAGCGTTTAGTCTAGTTGTGGTTTTTTAAAGGAATACTTTGTCTACAATTTTTAATAAAGTCTAATTTACTTGGCCTCATGTCGTCCCTTGGAGCTTAAAATTTCTGGACACCATTTACTTGCATTGCATAGACCTACAGAGCAAGAAATTATTCTTGAAATGTTTGTACATGTTCAACAAGAGAAATAAAGTAATGCATATCTTGGATGGCATGGAGAGAGTGTTTTAAATTTGGGTCAACCCTAGTGCTCGTGCTTCTTGTGTACCCACCAGGTTATGTTAGGAAGGGCAAGCGAGGTGAGCTCCGTCGAATTTACTTGGAAGCAATGCATCCGGGATTTTGCAGTGTCCACTGCATGCAAGTCTATTGTGCTGAATAAATGATTGTACAAAATTGTATTAATCAGAAATAAAATCATTTACCCACACTGAGATTTCAAATTAATACACTGATTTGTGTAACATGTTCTGAAGAACATTAGTCTGTCATTTGCTGTAATTTGATTTTTTAAAAATATGCTACATAAAAAATGTGCAGTACAGGTGAATGGTAACTACTTTTTCTTAACAGTACTCAGCATTTTCTTTATGTATCACACATTTACCTCCTGAGTGCAACTGCATCTCACTTTAATATGTTCCTTGGTAGGCTACTGTAGAAGAATTGTAGAAGTAAAATGTAATATCCAGAAATATGCTTTAATTACTACAGTTAAAGGATTTAAAATGACCATCACGAAGCATGGCAAAAGGTGTAAAGACATGATTTCAATGTTGACAGTGAATGGTATTGGATACAAACAATAATGACAAAACTGTAAGAATAAGACGTGATTTCAATGTTGACAGTGAATGGTATTGGAAAAACTATAAGAATAAGACGTGATTTCAATGTTGACAGTGAATGGTATTGGAAACACAATAATGACAAAACTATAAGAATAAGACGTGATTTCAATGTTGACAGTGAATGGTATTGGAAACACAATAATGACTAAACTGTAAGAATTTCAGTTTAAACTACTATGAAAATGCGTTATGTTTATATCATTTTTTAAACTACGATGTAATCCAGCCTACTTGCGGCATAAGCTCCTCCCACTTGCTGTTCTTGGCGTAAGCTCCTCCCACTTGCAGGTCTCCGGGCTGCAGCGATAACTACTTGGAGAGGCTGCATTCAAAACTTTTTGAAAACAAAACATTTATAATCCAAAATATAATATTATTTTTTAAATTATGAACTATAATGACATATATCTGAAATACGAAGCAAAATACACCATACAAATCTCAAATATAATTATTTTTCAAACAAATTATCATACAGTAATCAAAAACAAATGTGATTGGTCCATCCGGATCAGCGCCTAGAAAATAATCAGATACCACGTGATAACGTGTTACCGTCTAGCGGTCTAGAGATAATAATCCACACGTACATAACCCTATCCCTAACAGTAACACAACTTCTGGACCGCCCGTTTTGACTTTCTGCATTATGAGATTTGCCTTTCTACCCACCTATTCTGTTTCTATGGGTATGACACTATAGAGAGACCAAAAACAGCAACAGTATTATACAGTGTTTATTTAGTCTGTTTTTATACGTGTGGTCTAGATCAGGATGGGCAACTGGCGGCCCGCGGGCCGTATACGGCCCTCAGTGTCTTTTAGTACGGCCCGCTGGATCATAAGATCAGGATTGGCGGCCCGCGGGCCGTATACGGCCCTCAGTGTCTTTTAGTACGGCCCGCTGGATCATAGATCATATTAATGATCAATTTTAAAACATTTGAAAAGCAAGTCACGTAAAGATTGCTTTCAGTTTATGATGTTAATACTATCTCCAACCAGGAGAGGTCGCTAGTTTCCAGCCGCTCCCCTATTAATTTCAGCGTAGTAGGACGTGCACTCTAATGTAAACATTCATTAACATTAGCAAATAATAAATGAAAAACTAACCATGAAAACAGTATTTTCAAGTCAAGATGGTAAACAGATTATCTTTTTATCAAGTTAAAGGGGATACCCATATGTTTGGAAATCTGTATTTTATTTAAATCGCCATCACACCACTGCTCACAA